GGCTGGCGTCAGATGGTTCATGCTGAGGGGGCTCTCCAACAAGGGGCTCCAGCTGTGGTTAGATGGTTCATGCTGAGGGGGCTCTCCAACAAGGGGCTCCAGCTGGGGTTAGATGGTTCATGCTGAGGGGGCTCTCCAACAAGGGGCTCCGGCTGGGGTTAGATGGTTCATGCTGAGGGGGCTCTCCAACAAGATGGGGTTAGATGGTTCATGCTGAGGGGGCTCTCCAACAAGGGGCTCCAGCTGGGGTTAGATGGTTCATGCTGGGCGTTTCCAAGTTGGCAGCAATTTGCGCTTCATTGTTATTTTATTTCTCTGATTATTTCCCAATATATTGTTACTTGTCGTGTATCTCCGCTCTGCAGGGTTTCTACGCTAGCCTGCGCACTCACGGCTTTCGTCGCGTGAGTGAGATGAAGTGGACCGACAACCGCATAGAGTTCTCGCATCCAGACTTCCTGCGCGCTCATCCAGAGAGGGCGCGGCGCATCACAAAGGTGACCTCGCGTGACCTCTGCTGACCCCGATGACGTCAGGTCCCTGCCCGCGGTGATTGGTTTAAACGCGCGCGAGTGATCACGGAAGGTGACTGACGCAACACAGACGCTAAATTAATGATCACAGAAGATGGCTTGACGCAATTAAACGGTCGGCGTTTTATTCTGCAGGTGCCGGTGACGCAAGACGACGCAAAGGATGACGCAGCCTCCGCTTGGAGCAGCGGTCACTGCGTCAGCGGCGGTTCCAGCGTGAGCGGCTGCGTCACGACGCAGCCGCGAGCCGTCAGCACGTCGGCCGCGTCAGGAAGTGCCGATGACGCCTCGTCGGACTGTGTCGAAGAAATCTACATGGCCGACGACGTACGAGCGCCGTCTGGCGGCAGTAATAGATGTCACGGGAACGCGGCATGGACGGAGACGGACGCGTCTGCGGCACCAGGAGCAACAGACGGTTGCTATGGCAACGAGGATCGTTCCCCGCATCGTCTGCCGAAACCTGCACGTGTTCTCATGAAACGATTAACTAAAGTAACTAAAGTAAAGAAATACTTGAATGAATAAATAAATAAATAAATAAATAAATAAATAAAATGTCTGTACTATAACACATAATATATATATATATATATGTTATATTCCTGTAACATACTAACGCTGCTGCATCTCTCTCTTCTTTCTATCACGTGTTTACAGGTGAGCAACATGTTTATCATGTCTCTGGCCATCGCTGACCTCACCGTAGGTCTGTTCGTCATGCCCATCAGCACAGCTTACATCCTCACCGGAGAGTGGATCTTCGAACTAGTCATCTGCAAGATCTGGCTCTCGCTCGACTACACCGCCAGCACCGCCTCCATCCTCAACCTCTTCATCCTCAGTTTGGATCGCTACTGGAGTATTACGTCTCCGTTGAAATATTTAAAAAAGCGGACGAAAAAACGCGCGCTCATCATGATCTCTATCGTCTGGTTGTCAAGCGCTCTCTGGATTGTTCCGATACTCAGTTGGCAGCATCTGACGAACGGAGGTGTGCGCCGGATACCTCCGAACGTCTGCGATACGGAGTTCACGCACGACCGCGTCTTCAAGGTGACGACGTCCATCTTTAACTTCTACCTGCCGCTGACGATGATGATCTCGCTCTACGGGAAGATCTTCCACGAGATCCGGCAGCGGTCGAAGTTCGACATCGGCATCCGCAACACGGGAGGCGGAAACGGGAAGACGGACGGAGCGTCGGACTCGTTCGGCGATTACGAGAAACGCTTGAGCGGTGACGACGAACCGTCGCCGTCGCCGTCGCCCGCCGCCGCCGCCGACGACGACGACTCCGCCGACGTCGCCGACGCCGCCGACGATTCGTCGCCGAAGCTCAGCGTCGGGCAGTACTCGAACGTGACGCTGTTGGATATGACAGCGTCACCGAAGCTGACGCTGCAGCGCTTCGACAGCGTCAGGGTGAGCGTCGAGTACGTGTACGACAGCAGTGACGAGGAACACGCCGCGCATGTGCGAAGCCCCCTCATGGCGAAGCAGAACGCTGCTGCGCATGCGCGTCGCCAGCAGCTGCAGCAGCGCGTCGCCGAGACGTCGCTGACGGTGCACGGCGACGGTGGCTCCGCCACGGGCGGCGGCAAGCAGCACACGAACAACTGTTCATCTATGTTGAACAATGCCGTAGAGAATCCTCTCTACAGCAAATCTCGGCAGCTGACGCGACAACGCTCCGACCAGAAGCCGACGCGCGCCGTCACGCCTCCCGACAACCACGCGACGGATATCCGCCGAACTATCTCTAACAAAAGCAGCAGCGCGAAGAGCAACTCGAAGGCAGGCGGCAGCGGCGGCAGCACCGTCGGCAACAAACTATCGTCGAAGTTCATCAAATCGTCGCGAATTCCACGCATTCCTTTTGGCCTGAAGAAGAAGGTGAAGAAGTCTCCGAACAGCACTCTGAGAAGAGAGAAGAAAGCTGCCAAGCAGCTCGGTGTCATCATGGGTGCCTTCGTGCTTTGCTGGATGCTATACTTCGTCTTCTTCATGATCGTAGCCTTCTGCGACGACTGCATCAGCAGCGACCTCTACATGGCGTCGATCTGGTTAGGTTACTTCAACAGCACACTCAACCCTTTCCTCTATCCGCTCTGCAACACAAACTTTAAGCGCGCTTTTAAGAAGATGTTGAGATGCAAGGATGCGAGTAAGGACGTGGCAACGTACTCGCGCGCGTGTGATCTAAGCCAGGGCTACACAGGAAGGATAACTCGGTGACACGTTAACACACACCCGGCGTATACACGGAGTCCGAGAATATATATATATATATATATATGTATCATATATATATATTATATCATCGTTATGCGTCATCGTCATCGTTGTCGTCAATCGTCATCGCTTGTCGTCACCCGATGCCTGGCTTCCATGCCCGATTTAGCTTCTGAACTCTCACGATATTTTGATAAGGTCGAATTCACCCTACGTGTAAATTATACGCGCAGTACACACACGCACGCGCAGCACAAGCACCACACCACTGCCCACGGCGGCGAGCGATCCACACACGAGGGACGCGCACGCGGCGCACACACGCCACAGCAGCGCGCGCACCACACACATCACGCACGCAGCACACCGACACCACGCACACAACGCAGCACACACGCGCACACGAACGCACACAGCACATCACGCACACACCGGACGAGGCGCACAGCACAGCACGCACACACACACACACACACACACACGCGCAGCGGAGCGGCACACCCACCGCACATCACAGCACGGCACGACACAGCACACACACACACACACAGCAGCACACAACAACACAGATGCACACCACGCTGACTGGAACGCACTGCAACGGCGAGTGATTTCTATATGTCGCTTCGTACATATACACAATGTCTGCTCGCCGTGTCTGCCGCCCCGTGTGCCGGAGATATGCAAGCTGGTGTCTTGCGTCCACTGACGTCACATCGAGGGGTGACGTCACCGCAGGCTGGGCTTACGTCGTCAGAGTATCCTTTCTGTGTAACCGTGACCTGGATGACACGTGACGCGTGACAGGCGTGACGGCGTGACGTCAGCGGAAGCAATCGTACCGGCAGCTGCCGTCTGAAGCTTACCTCAATAAAATACACCAATAAATAAAGTAAATTACAACAAATAAATAAATAAATACACATACATTACTTACATACCCGCGCAACACCTTGTGCGTAAGCCTCGGCGTTTGGGTTACTGATATCTTGCACAGGGATGCATTCTTAGCGGTGGGTTGCGGATATTATTGGCAAGCGGATCATGTGCTAGCGTGGGTATAGGATCAATATTGCAAGCGGATGGCATTAGCTGATATTCTTGCAGGCGGATGCTGTTTTGCGCTGTGGTTTATGATATTATTGAACGGATGCATTTCTAGGCGGTGGGATTAGCGCTGTTTGTTTTGGGCTGCGCTGTTTTTCAGCGTGGTGGTATAGCAGCAGTATTCTGAGTCAATTGCGGTTACACGTTACGGTTGCTGTTTCATGGCGTTTCATTGACACTTGCCGCAGTACGACATTGTTTTCTCAGCCAAGTGGTCTTTCTTAAGTTCTCGTCGGCTGCCTCTCTCTCTCGCGGCTTTTTTTCTCTTTGCTCCCTATCTGGCGGTGGCTCTCCTCTTTCTCCTCATCTCTCTCTATGCCCTGTCTGCGCTTTCCCGCTTTCACTGTTTTCCCTCCTTGCTCTCCCTCTCCCTTCTTCTTCTCTCCTTCGCCTCTCCTCTCGTTCTTCTTCCTCATACCGCTTGTGCTCTTGGCTCAATTCGATTTTCATTAATGCGTTAGATTTCGATGCATGCGCATCCTGTCGCTGTTTCTTACGTCGCCACACGTGAGAGGGCGAGATGATTAGAGAGCAGCGGCAGGAGAGAGAGGAGAGAGCGATGAGAGCGAGAGAGAAAGAGAGAGCAGAGAGACAGGATAGAGCGCGCGCGAGAGAGAGAGAGAGAGAGAGAGAGAGAGAGAAGAGAGAGAGAGAGAGAGAGAAAGAGATAGAGAGAGAGAGAGAGAGAGAGAGAGAGAGAGGAGAGAGAGAGAGGGAGAGAGAGATAGGCGCGGCGAGGAGAGACGAGAGAGAGAGAGAGCAGAGAGAAGCGGGGGGGAGAAAGGGAGGGAGAGAGAGAGAGAGAGAGAAGGGAGAAAGAGAGAGAGGCAGGAGAGAAAGCGGAGAGAGAGAGAGAGAGAGTAGAGAGAGAGCGCGAGCGGAGAGGAGAGAGAGGGATAGAGATGATAGAGCGCGCGCGAGAGAGAGAGAGGAGAGAGAGAGAGGAGAGAGAGAGGAGTAGGGAGAAGAGAAGAGAGAGCAGAGAGGAGAGAGAGAGTGTAGAGAGAGAGAAGAGAGAGAGAGAGAGAGAGAAAAGAGAACCTGCCGAAACTTTGGCAACAAGCTATGTGGTTTTTGAAATCGTGCGCAGGCAGTTTTAATGGCATTTGAAGCGTGAATCAGTGAACGAAGTGAGTGTGTTGTGCGTGCGTGCGCTGCGTGTGTTTGTGTGTAGCGTGGCGCGCGTGCGTAGCATGTATAATATGTCTGGCTCCTTTCTCTCTCTCTCTCTCTCTCTTCTGCTCTCTCCGCTTTGCTCTAGCGCTCTTTCTATGGCTGTAGCTCTTCGTATCTCTGCCTCGCCTTGCCGCCCGCCCGCCCTCTCTCTGGCTCTCTCTCCTTGCTCTCTCTCCTCTCTCTCTCTCGGCTCTTCGTCTCTGGGCTCACGGATCTGTGAGGCAGTGATAGGACGTGATTAATCGCTTGACGCTGTGATTTGGGCGATTGACCTGTCCGCATGCCGCAACGCAACGGTCACTGCACACACACACAGCACACACACACGTCACATCTCACACACACACACCACCACCACATCACACACGAGACACACACGCAGCGTCACGCACACACGGCACGCACGCACTGCACGCGCACCAACATGCCTCTTCAATCCTCTCTCCCCCGCATCGCATGCGTCTTGACGTGTAGCTGGGGCATGATAGCGAGCGATTCTCCGAGCGGTTCGATACGCGACCTTATTTGTTGCCTCCTCGCCTTCGTCCTCCTGCCCTCTCCTCGTCCTCCTCGCTTTCCTCCCTCCCTCTCCTCGTCCTCCTCCTCCTAGCCTCTTGCTCGCTTCCCTCTATCCCTTCCTCCCCGCTCCTCCCTCCTTCCTCCCTTGTCCTCCTCTTCCTCCTCCCTCCGCTCGCCTCCCTCGTTCCCTCCTCCGTCCGTCCCTCTCCTCTCTCGCCCTCCCTCCTCCTTCGCCTCCTCGCCTTCCTCGCTCCGTCCCTCTCCTCGTTCCTCCTCCTCCCTACCCTCACTCCCTCCCTCGCATCCCCTCTTCCATTCCTGCTTCCTCCCTCCCGTCCCTCCCTCCCTCTCCTCCCTTAGTCCTCCTGCTTCCTCTCCCTCCCTCCCTCCACCTCGCCTCCTTCCGCTCCCTTCCTCCTGCCTCCTTCCCTCCCTCTTTCCCTCCTCCGTCCCTGCCCTTCCCTCCCTGCCCCCTTCCTCCCTCCCTCCATCCCTGCCTTCCTCCTCCCTCCCTCGGCCTCCCTCCTTCCTCCGCTCCCTCCTCCTCGTGACTGGCGAGATGTGTGGATAAATTAATGCTAGGGTGGGTAATGGCACACGCGGCCCGATGCATGGCATGAGTGGAGAGATCGATGGATGTCAGGGTGGGTAGGAGAGATCGAGCGTCATTTACAGATACCCTGAGGATGCGGTCAGTGAGGCGAGAAAGCAGAGGTGAAGAGAGGGAGAGAGACCGAAAGAGCGAGAAAAAAAAATATATATAGAGAGAGAGAGAGAGAGAGAGAGAAAGAGAGAGCAGCATTGGGGGGGGGGGGGTTATCGTAAGGACAGTCCACAGCAGCTTATATGATGCAAGCTTTATTCTGCACAGGCTGTCATTCAACCCGGCTATTTTCTTCTTTGCCTTGTCGCCGTCGCCGTGGTAATATACGCGATTAGAGTGCGCTTGTGTGTCTGACATGGGATGGCCCATGTCGTCAAGATTGTGAACTTTTCCGACGCGTGCGCACCGTCCAATCCTCTGTTCGTGTTGTCAACTAATGGGGGATGCGTGTCGCGATCCAGACGCTATTTCTCTCTCCTCGCCTATTTCTGCCTCTTCTAGTCTTCCCGCTCGTACATTCTCCTCTCCTATCCTCCCTCCTTCCCATTTCTCCTCGTCCTATCTTCCCCTCTACATTGCTCCCTGCTGCGCTATCGCTCCGCCCCTCCCCATTCTGCGTCCGTCTCATATGCTCCGCTCCGACATTTTCCCGTCTCGTATCCCCCCCCCCTCTTCTCTCTCTCTCTCCGTCTCCTCTCTCTCTCTCTCTTATTCTTTGACCAGTATGCTACAGCCTTCCAAACACCGGTCTGTCGACAAACTGTCTGTTGACATTTTCGTCGTTAAATAAAATTGGGCTGTCCAGGTTTGCGCAGTCTCTCACAAACTATTTTTGGAAGACGCGGAAACAGAACTGTTTTCGTACAGATTTTGCATTTTGATGCGATTTGGTGGGTAGGGGTTGGGGTCGTTTAATTGGGAGAGGCGATTTGTTGTGGGGGACGCTTGTATTTTGCTGGGAGACTTTGTGTAGAATTCGTTGGCAGTAGCGAGTTTATGTGGTATGTCTATGTCGGCGGGTGAGAGGTGGTGAGTGTACAAATAGTTGTCTATATGCTAGTATCGTATTGTCGGCTTGTGTCGGCGACGCTAGCGACGCCTAGCGCCCGTTTGCTAGCGAGTATTGTACTGCTACATACTAAATAATATTATTAAAAAACGATCATGATAATATTATTTATTAATGATATATGCTTGTAACCGATGACGTAAACATGCGATGCACGTGGCCAGTGTGGTGCGCAGTGACGAATTGTGTGCGACGAACGTTCGGAGCTCCTAGGGGCAGACGAGGGCGGTGGCGCCATCCTATTAGCTGATGAACGTCTGTGATCCAGAGCTCTTCGTAGTGTAGTCTTTGTGTTGTGTTCGTCTAGCCGCTTTTATAAATAGAGATTGGGCAGTACTTTGGCAGGCTTCGCTGGCAACCTACACGAGTATCGATCGATTGAATCAATGGCAAGTGATGACTCAGAGATTACTTGATCAATAATCTATCTGTCAGTTAGCTTAATGCAGTATTCCCATCTTAATCCAAAGTGAATTGTCAGGACAGGTATTGATAAAATGATTACGTAGATTTTAGATTACGGAAAGACTGAACGTGGACAGTACTAGATCAGTCAAATAAGTC